TAAAGAAATGAAGATGACCAATGAAAACGGTTTTGGCCCATACTTTCTTAAAAACATAATGTAGACATCAGGAACTAATAAAGTAAAAAGGAACGCGAGTATCACTACAACGGAAGATGATACCTTTTGAAGTCTTCATACAACTCGCCGATACAACCAGAGCAAGAAAATTGGCAGATAAATAGAAAAAAGCCATCGTATTCTTGTAGCTCAAAGATAAATGGGGCTTAGCATACATCTGCTTCTGTTAATGACACGCTGCGATATCTTGCCATTAATTTTTTTTTTCCCTTTTTAGGCGTTTGGCCTCCTGTTTTGTTTTTTTTTGTCTTCTCTGTAAATGTTTTCTAGCGCCTCTGGGTTTCTTCATTTTTCTTTCTCGTCGCTGTTAATTCAATTAGCGCTCTAGTTTTTGATGTGTAAATTCAGGAGAAAACAATGGTACAGAAGAGCTCCAGTTCAGTTCGTTTTAATTCTGCTGCCACAGAAAGTTTCAGAAAATAATGGAGCGTCTGTTTATTTAAGTTTTTTTTTTTCAATCGTACTTATCTAGCTTTATTGCTTGCAGACGGCGCTTGGTGGGTTTTTGTCATTTCGGAAGCATATAGCTGTATAACAGCTAACATTGAAAGTTTAGGTCAGCCAACAGTTAAACGTTCACTGTTACATCTAACCTTGTCCTCCACTTACAGCAAATACCCTAGTTTTAAAATAAAGATGTCGAAGGCAGAATTTCCGGATTCTTTAAATTTTACTCTGGAATTTTCTAGACTACTGCAAGCATACATAAAGAACCTACCTATATCTTTCTTCTACGGGGGCTTTTATGGGACATGCGGTGTTTTTCGTTGGCAATTAATGTGGACTCCAGGAAACAAACTCCGAACGAACACCGGTCACCTAAAAACTTACCTTTATTTTAATTTATTTTATTAAACATCTGAGTAAATGGGTGAATAAATAAACAAATGAAATGTTTTTCAAATAACTTGCCAAAAACAGCGTTTCAACGAAATATCTTCTCATATTTTGGTATCTATTTTAGTACTAAGCCATGCATATGGTACATTCACTAACATTAAAAATTTACATCACGCGAGTTATGGCTCGTTAAGAGTTTTGATCACTGACCAATGTAGTTCACGGCTATTTTATTGTGACATTGCCATGAGCAAGATTTTTAAATACAGACCAGTTAAAAACAGAACCACTAGGCACGCTACAACTTGTGTACTGAGCGGCAATGTCGCTTTCGGACAGAACTTTATCCCACATGTTGACACTTGCCAATCGGCCATGAAGAGTTTGCTCACGATCAAATCGTCCGCCAATGGAGTCTTGGTCTTGTCCAAGCACCAGACAGCCGCCAGCCGTAATTTTAAAGTTCTCAGTGGCATAATTCGTATCCTGTCCTGTAAATTGGCCATCTTTATAGAGTTTCGCTACTCCTTTTGTGTTTTTCCAGGTGAGACACATGTGTTGCCAGGTATGATCGTAGAGATTTGTTGAGCCGTGTGAGTTAAACCTGAAAAGACAAAAAAAATAATAAAACAAAACAAAACAAAAGACAAGCAATATTGAATATATTCTATCATTCAAGACCCTCCCCTGAAGTCAGTCAGTAGAGTAATCCAGTCTGTCAGTCAGTCAGTTATAGTAATGCGTAAGTAGCCTGTCAGTCAGTCAATCTGTCAGCAACTCGGCCGGTCAGCAAGTCAGTCAATGAACTGTCAGTCGGTCAGTCAGTCAGTCAATCAATCAATCGCTTATCAATCACTTAATCTTTCATACATTTAAGGTTCCATTCGTTCATTGCTTTCTTTAATTCATTCAGTCAATCTCTTATTATGTGATTACTTACAAAATGTTTAATGAGCTAATTTCATCTCTGCCATATCAAAGTATCACCTGAGCTACTATGTCGAAAGCCGGGTCGATTAAGAAACCTCGTTCTTTTATGGCTAGACCCGTAATAAGCGAGTCCTTGCCATTTGAAAGACTTTTGTGTCCTACTAAGCAAAGTGACCTAAATCACATTTCAAATAAAGGACCAGAATGGTTATTTGCAAAGCGTAAGGAAAATACGTCTAGATTTTTTTCGGTCAAAGATTAACATATTTAGTATTGAAATCATGATAAGAAAAGAGATAGAAGCCAAGGCTTTTCGTTTTTTTCCATGTTTACCTTTCTCCCTCTCTCCAACTGTTAGACATTAACTATCTAAGAGGAAGAAGCCGATCGTAACATTTCCTCTGTCATGGCTTATCGTGGCTCGAATAAGAAATTCCCCGACCGACTTTTAAAAGATATATGCAACATTACCGGAACAACTCGTTGCCAACATAAAAATCTGTTCGTGTTGGATAAACTTCGACAAGC